TGTGCGTGTGTGTGTGTGTGTGTGTGTGTGTGTGCGTGTGTGTGGGCGAGTTAGTGTGTATTTTATAAACCCACTCACAGGGGAACTGATTCCTTCTTCACCGTGAGGGGACCTGAGAAGTATAAGAGGAGGATTCATATATTAATGAATCATACTATTAAATATTCACAATCAACTCGTTGAAAATGAGAATAATCATTAATTACGTGCGAGTGATAATTATTTATTATAATTAAATGTATTAAGCAGTTGACTCCTCGACTTTGTGTCTTACTTTTCTCTGGTTCGGTGCCGCTGCAGAAAAGAACGAAAGCAAAAGTTAAACCCTTGTTTGTGTGTGTGTGTGTGCGTGTGCGTGTGCGTGTACTTGTGTGTGCGTGCGTGTGCGTGTACTTGTGTGTGAATCACACATACCTGGTAGCTGCTTCCTCAAGTTTGGGTGAGTGGAAAAATGTGGCCAACTTCTGAAGAGCTTCATGTCTCGCTCTGTCAGGAAGACGAAGACAAAATGTATGCAGGCTCTGCTGTGTGTGTGTGTGTGTGTGTGTGTGTGTGTGTGTGAGTGTGCTCACTGGACATTAGGGCCATCTGCGATGATGTCACTGCAGCTGTGGGCGTGGCTTACGCTCAGCTCTTTGTTTCCTGAGACAGGCAGATGAAACTTAATGACGTATAACGGACCAGAGAGGAGCTGAGGTCTTTGTAGAAGATGCTGCTCTCTAGAGTGTGCAGGCGGCTCGGGGAGAGATTCTTTAAAGTGAAGCCACCGAGGTGTTATATTTATTACATTGCTACATGTATGGACGCCAGATCATACGGAGATAGTTTTCTTATTGATACCAATAACTCCAACAAGAATTCAAAGCGCTTTAACGTCCCGAGCGTAGATGTGATGCAGACTGTCTGAGCAGCATCTAGCATCCTCTGCTGAGGGTCCTTACCCATGTCCGGCATGGACAGCGTCCGCGTGTGTCCGCTGGGAGAGACACAGGGAGGAGACGAGGCGTTATGACATGATAATACCTGCATGACAACAACAGAGGCCCACGTGGACTCACTTCGAGGTCAGCAGGGCCTCGGGTTCCAGGGCGGGAGAGAGAGGTTCCTCTTCATCGCCGCTCCACTCGTCGCTGTCGTATGAGACTGTGCACGGCGACGTAAACACAAATGAATGAATAAACACAAGCTGTTGCTGTGACGAGGAAGGCGGCGGTACTTACAGGTCTCCGCTGACATCGAGTAGAGGTTTGAGGCCCTGAGGAAGAAGAGACAAAATATGAATCATCCTAAATCAAAGCTTCTATCAGGAGACCAAAGCGGGATTCTATGATTCCAAGAGCAACAGGTTCTGAGGTGGAAAGATCGGCAGCACAAGGGTCCCTTTAGAGCCCCTCTCAGTCCTGGTCCAGGTTCTACTGGGTCACCCGCCCCTCCAGTGTGATCGGCACTACGTCCTGGTTCTCCAGAGAGGAGGAGGTCTCCACAAGACTCCATTGATGCCGGATCTGGGTGTTTCCACGGGGACTGGTCTCTGCTGGAGGATCCGAGTCTCCAGGTGGACTGGTCTCTAATGGAGTCTGGAGGTCCAGCGAACCCCCATGTCGCAGAACAGGGACTCAGAATATCAGTGGTTAATGAGTGTGATTAATTAAAAGATCCCCCCACCTGGTGACCTCGTCCTCCATCAGGCTGTTGTTGGTGCCGCCGCTCATGCGAGTGGCCTTCTTCCCCAGCTCCATCATCTCCTTGATGTCCAGCTCCACAAAATCCACCGCGATGTATCCGACTGGAACAAACCCTCCACAGTCAGTGCCCCCACTTGATACATGTGAATAGTGTTCCTCCATGCTCCCTTTGACCCCGGGGGGCGGTTGACTCACAGTTGTTGCTGCTGCTCCTGGCCAGCCATTTGCCCTTGGGGCAGTTGGTGGTCCGGATGATGCTCACCACCTCGCCGCAGGTGACCGGCAGGTCGTTCTTGCGTCCCTTGTTGGTCACGGTGACCCTGGCCTGGTACATGGCGTCCTCCTGACCTTTGATCTGAAAGGCGGGGGGGGTCAACGCCACGCATCCACATACTCTCTACATGGACATGTAGTAAGGGGAGGAGCTAAAGCTACGTATGATCAGAGATAAACTAGCAGGTTCTTCACAAGCAGAACTGGGATCAGGAGATCAGCCTCTGATGGTTCAGGATCACAGGACTCCACCGTGTGGGCTCCGCTCAGCTCCTCCACCTGGAGGTATGAACCACGATAAGACACCCCCACCCCCCCCCGATGACACCACTCACTTTAAATGTCTTCTTAATCTCGGTCTCCTTCTTCTCCCTCTCTTTCAGCTACTTCTTCTCCCTCTCCTGTTTCTCCTTCAGCTCCTTCTTCTCCTTCTCCAGCCGCTGCTTCTCTTTTTTCCTCTGCTCTTTCTCGTCCGACCCTCCGGCGGCGGCCTTCTTCTCCGACCTGCAGAAGGAGAAGAGAACGTTTGAGTCTGAAGGGAAAAGCGATTGGTCAAAATAAAAGAGCAGATAAAATCAGGGCCTTACTTGCCGAACCGGATCGTCTTGCTTTTTGCTCCATTCTGTAAAAACAGATTTAATTTATCTCACTTCAAATCAGAATGAGCATTATGAGCAGAAAGAGGCTTTTAATCCGAAAAGCCACTCACTGTTTCTTGTTGTGGCTCAGCGTATGGATCTGGAGAAAAAACAATGTGGTTAAATATATGAAAATAAGGTTTTGTTTGTGTCTATTTGTGATATCAAAGTCACATGTGATATATAACACTGAGACATGTGATATTTAACAGTGAGACATGTGGTATTTAACACTGAGACATGTGATATTTAACAGCGAGACATGTAATATTTATCACTGAGACATGTGATATTTAACAGTGAGACATGTGATATTTATCACTAAGACATGTGGTATTTATCACTGAGACATGTGATATTTATCACCGAGACATGTGATATTTAACACAGAGACATGTGGTATTTATCACTGAGATATGTGATATTTATCAGTGAGACGTGTGGTATTTATCACTGAGACATGTGATATTTAACAGTGAGACATGTGATATTTATCACTAAGACATGTGGTATTTATCACTGAGACATGTGATATTTAACACAGAGACATGTGATATTTAACACAGAGACATGTGGTATTTATCACTGAGATATGTGATATTTATCAGTGAGACGTGTGGTATTTATCACTGAGACATGTGGTATTTATCACTGAGACATGTGG